CCCCCCCCCCCCCGGCTACAATGTAACTTATCTTTCATCGGTTGGCGCTGTCCATATTCCCAACTACAGGCGGACAAAGCATCCTAGAAAGCGCTCGACCTTCCCTAGCCTAGGTATTTTCATTGGCCCGCCTGAGAGCATCGTCGGGCGCTACAAAAAAAGAGAAAACACACACGCAGGCAAGAAGCGCACCTGTGAATGCACCCTGGAAACAGGTCTTCGAAGTATGCTTCTAGAGCCACCGCAGACCGAAGCTCGGCCGGTACGTTCTCCACCTGGGAAAGCCAGCAATATCAAGCGCGGCGCGCAGACCACAGCAGCGTGCCGGGGTCGCAAAAAACGATGCCGTGTGCGTCAAGATATACATCTACAGCAGTGCCTGTGTTGAAGCTTCGAATACGGTTGCCGTTGTCTACGGTTGACGGAAGGGGGGTTGTTCGAAAACGGAAGAAATTCACCCAAGCATCGAGGACAAAAAAATATCCCGGAACGAAACGCGGTGCACCCCCCCCGCCGCCCTCCCTCCCGCCAGCCCGTGCACCTCCAACGTAACCCCCCGAGGCATCAATCACTGTTTCGAGTGTCAAAACACTGCTTGAGGACGGAAGACAGCATGCGACGGCGGTTGTACACATACGCAGTGGGGGGCAGGGACAACAGGCTCCATGTTCACGCCCTTGTACGCCCTTGTAACAACCGGCAAATGTGCGGAATTCCAAGGTTTGGCAAAAGCAACACGCAAGAGTGATGGTCAGCTTCTGGCTCATCCTTGTGGGGCGTAGCCTGGGCCGACGACACCCCAGCACATCATCGCTCCGTCCCGGCATTGTAGTGCGAGGACAATGGTCTAGTGACAACAGCATGCGTTTACATAAGTACGATTTACCTCACACACACACACCTTAGTGGTGTACCGGGTCTGCGTGGCGAAGTCCGGATCCCCCTTGGTAAGGAACTCCTGTTTATTGGTACAGAGAGCGAGCGATCCCGGGGATTAACTGGGAATGACGACCAGCAATACGATAAGTATATATGTAGTCTAAGCACGTCGCAAAGGCGTCAAACAAAACCGACAGGGCATGAAACACTTTGATCATCATCGTTCCTGGAAAAGCTCAAGAAACGCGAGGGGGTGCGTTGTTTCGGCGACCTGCCCCACAGCCATCGGGCAAAACCAAGGCCAAATTTAGGGTGCCGAGACGTGGAGACTGAGCGCTCGTGCTTGAATTGTTCGCGGACTACTTATTGCGATGTATATCCAGACAGAGGGAGAGAGACAGAGAGGACCCGGGTTCCGAATCATTTACGTAGCCCAGAGTCCAATGTTTCTGCGTGCACATCTTGGAAGGGGACAGTAAATCTCGTGAACTCCAACCATGTAGGATAAGCACAGCAGTCAGTGCTGGGGCAGAAAACAACCTAGACAGACTTGCCTCCCGCATCTCTGCAAACGCCTGGTGCTCTCCTCGCAGCACGTACAGAGCGTGCCAGGTGAACAGGTAGGCGAAAACCACTGTCACCCACTGCGTGCGTGCAATGCAGGCGTCGTGTGGTTCGCCGACAGGGGAATAGGTAACGGAGAGCGGAGGTCGACGACGGCGGCGGTGGCATTGGCGGTAGCGGGCAGGAAACCACGTCAAGCAGGAGTGCACATCAGAGGCCACCCCATCGGCGTAGATGGGGGGGATTGGACGCCAGTACGAGGGACAGGCAGGCAACACCGACACACAAAAGCGACAAACAATCCGCCGCCATCTACCGTCCACCATGCGGGCATATACAGATCACGACAGCAGCAAGTACGAAACAACGGAACAAGCGTGCCTGTGGGGCTAGCGTGATGGGGGGGAGGGGGGGGTATCAAGGCATCAATGATTTGGTCATGTCCAAATAATGCCCTTTTACCCGCGGCCGTCATGTCTTATCATTCTGATCATCTCGCTGTCTCTCGATACCTCCCCAATCTGCCTCCCAACATCAGTGACAACTTCCCCACGTAAACACGGAGAAGCGCCTCAAGCAAAGAGTGGCGGTAGCTCTAACCGGAGTAAGGGCGGTATTCCGCCGTCGCAAACAAAAGGATGATCAAACGGCTTAAGGTAGCAACAAACGGGTACCCCCCCCCCCTCTCTCTCCGCTCACCAGAGTGTTGCTGCCCGATGGGACGTTAGCCAGCGTGAGGTAGTAGATCGTGTTCACCGCGTCTGAGCCATCCAGGGCGTACACGGGCGTCAGCACGAGCATGCCCCAGAAGGACGAGAAGAGACAGATCCGAAGGCAAAGGTAGTTGAACCGCAGCAGGCAGTAGGCGTCCATACCTGGGAAGAAGAAGCATGTGCATAGTGCGATCGCCAGCGAAGCGAGGCAGACACGTCATCTTTAAGAGAGAAAAAAATAACAGCCCTCCTGGCTGAAATTCTACGCGGTGAACGCAATACCTCCCTCGGCCATGTCCTGCACACATGAATGTGTAATATTTGCTGCTCTTTTTAGACCAGGACAAGACGAGAAACATGGCGGACAACTGCAACAAACTGCAGGGAACACGTCTCGATGTGTGAGCAACAGAGGGAGTAGAACACCAACTTACAACCTCCCCATACAACGGACAAAAAAGCGAGATATACGATCGCTATTCCAGCTGGTGTAGATGCAGAATGGCCAGAAGCCGGAAAATAAACGGCATCCAAGACATGACAAACATAAAAGAGCCGGCGACCGCTCGGCTACTGGCGGTGCCTATCTCGGGGGAGAGGGAATAGGAAAGGGGTGTTCCAACTCGAAGGGGATGCGTCATGAACCAACGGACAGTAGTCAATGTGGCAAAATACAGAGGTTGCCCCCCCCCCTGTCGTACAGGCAATGCCGACCGCCTTCAGGAGGAAATGAAGAGTTACGTGTGAAATAGAGAGGGGGAGTTGAAAACCTTAACCCTAACCGTGACCAACCCGCGAGACCTGCTCAAACCAAGCTGAACATGTGCTCGCAAAGGCTACTAGACAACGCTGTGTCTACATACTTGGCTTCGACACCACCAGAGTTCCACGTGCATGCGAGGCGGAGCCCCCCCTCCTCGCCATACAGACACTGTGGCCCACGTACACACTGCGGTGACCCCCCTTATACGACACCACCAGGGTTATACGTGCCTGCGAGGCGGAGGGTGTCGGAGCCGGGCAGCGTGGCCACCGTCCACACCCACCGAAGCGGGCCGTAAGCGAGTGTCGGCGGTGCGCGGTGCGGCAGCTTGGCGGGCCGAGGCGCGTAGACGCTCCGCTTGTTCCGCTTGATCTCGAATAGCAGCCACAGGCCGAGACCGAGGACCGCGCTCAGGAGGAGCGTGGTAAGGAACTTTAGCAAGGGCGGCGGCGCGTAAGGGGCGGGGGGGGTACATGTTTTCCATGCCTCTGGTGTTGTTGTCGGGGACGGAGCATTGTTCCTACACGAGCGAGGGTCAATCAGTCCTTCCTACTTTGCCAAAGATGGTTCAAAAACGTGTTCGCTATCCTTTCTATGAGGGGACAGGACGGTGGTGGGCAGCTGCTACAAGCAACGACTGGTTTGGGGTCTACTGGATGCTGATCTCGTATATGTTGCTGACCGAGTGCCGCATGCACGAATCCTGCAGGAGGTGCCACTACATGCGGGTCCTCGAAAATACAACGCAGGCAAAAGAGGTCAGTGTCGTGCCTTGCAGTTGCCTCTCCAAGACCTACAACAACCGGCGTGTTGTGGTAGGGATCCTTGCAGCAATGACACTGAATGGTCGTTGATACCTAGTGAAACCAGTGGGTTCGGTGCCGTGGAATGAATAATAGCGGGAGGGGGAGAGATGGGACGGAATCGCGGTTCTCGGCGTTAACAAACAAGGGCGAAGCTTCGAAGGGGTGAAGGCGGCACAAAAAATACTTCATACTTCTCAATGTCTCGTGTTGTTCTTCCTCCAGTGTGACCCCGGCTGGTGCGTCAAGCACATACCAAAGGCCGAGACTGATGCCTGGAGTGAGTAGGACGAAAACACGTTCACCCATTCTCGAACGAAAAAATGACGTCGTGTGAGGGTCCTCATCGATCGCTGAATATAACAAGAGAGGAAGAGCCAGATACAGACAGAGACACAATCAAGATTCATTCCACACTATCAAACGGAAAACGACTGAGGCGAGAAAGGGGGACACGGCTTCAGCAGCCACGATGCTGACGCAGCAAAGGTGTTTGCACACCGCGCTCGCCGACCCGAACACGGCACTCCTAAGGGATCGTTGAAAAGAGTGCAAGCACAGGAATGTTGTACATACCTGATCGGTCTGTCTGCTGCAGGACATGCCTCATCATGCCGCCCTTCGCTATTTCCACACACGCAACATGGAAAACTCTGTACTGGACACGACGTGGGCAACAAAAACAACCCCACGCTCTGATCGCTGCGCCGCTGCGCCTCAGAAGCAGTTGCTCTGGTAGTCTACCGTCTACCTTGCTCGGCACTTAGAAGTTGGAGCGAGGAGATGGATGGGTGCATGTTTCGGAGCGCCGTGCACTATCTCCAACGAGGCGCGCGTACTCACTTCGCTGAGCCCTTGGCTAGAGATCTCGGTGTCCGCCGTCGTTCCATTTGAGCTTGCACCCAAGAGTTCGTTGATGAGCGGGGGCTCTGGCGAAGGCGTAGTCATGGCGCTTGGTATCGCGGACGGAGAGGCTGTCGTCGACATGTTGCTGTCTTCCGAGATGGTAAGCACGATGGAGGGGCGAAACAAATTTCACCACAACAGCAAACTTATCTGCTCAACAAGTCAAATAGCCCACATCATCTGCACCACGCGTGTGCATTGAACAGCACTGCACTGCCCTGTCTGTTGCTGTGCTATGGGGTCTACCCTGATACCGTGCATCTAGTCGCAGGAGCTCCGTCCGATGAAATATTGGATACTCACCCGCTACTTTTGCATCCTGTATCGTCATCCGGCCCCCTACTCTCTGTGTCCCACTGACCACGGCAGGTGGTCATTGACACAGCAGCAGTTGAAGGCTTGCAAAATCACAAGTACCATGCCGCCCACACGTGTGTGGGTGAAGCAGGGCCTAGATTCCCACCGATCCGTTCAGGTGCTGCTGGTCCCTTTGGGGAACATCCCTCCCGATGTTTACGCCAAGTACTGCGAGATCTTGCGGCGATTCAGGTGCGGTTTGTTTTCAAGCAAGGTGGCGTGTCTTGGTGACATTTACAGCAGTAGACTCTGCTGGTACTGCAACTGCCTCTCCCCTTGCTGAAGGTCCATTGCTGCGTGCTTCGTACTACTACCGTGCAACTACGATCTGGTTCACAACGGTTTTGGAATAATCCTACCACTGCAGACCAGCTTGCATAGTCTATATCGCTCTGGCACCTGGTACACTTGCACCCGTGCACCTCATGAGCTTGCAGCAAGTACTCGGAAACAGCAACCCACCCCGTGTGCAGGAAGCTCTACCGTTTAGGAGGGGAAGCTCTACTCTCTCATGCGTTCATTACGCATTTCTTGGGCACACGCTGTTGCTGGTGTTCGGGTTTCACCCGCAGAATGTTCTCCGAGGTTTTTTATGTTCTGCGAGCTCTCCCCACACCTCGGCATACATGTGTGCGGTGTGCGGGCTACCGAGGATGGCTGTTGACTCAATAACACGGCCGGAGCACTCAGGGCTCTTGCAACGTTTCCCCTGAGAAACTAATCAACGCTAACATGACACTCCGTTCGCCGTATTCGGGCAGCTTTCAATATGCTGTCATGTTCCACTACTGATGTGTGCTACATGGTAGCAGAGCACCGGCATGGTAGGCAACCATCGAAGGGTGGAGATTGGAGATCGGTCCGGGGG